TTCTTGTGTTCCTAACTCTTTTCTGAGCCTCGTTTGTGCAGAATCTGGGCCCATGGTCTGTGTGGGGGACTGAGAACAGACGACTTTGGTTTTGGACTCATGGAAGGAGCGGGACTGCTGGTAGTGAGACAGCGGGCTTTGACAGGGGTTGGAGAGAAGATCAAAGCTAGCGGTGTGGATTTGAGGTGAATCTTGCACATTGGGGAAGAGAGGACAATTTGGGGGGTATTGGGCCCATCTGTCCAATGTTAAGGGAGAAAGAGGCATGAGAAAATAGGATTTTAAGAAATTCTACTGTGGGGGTGCATGGGTACCTCAGTTGGTTAAGCATCTGCTTTCGGCTCAGGTCATAATCCCAGGTCCTGGATCGAGCCCCTCATTGAGCTCCCTGCTCAGTGGGGAGTCTGCTTCTCCCTTTCCCTCTGCCCCTCTCCTCTGCCCCTCTCCCCTGCTTGTATGCTCTCTCTCAAATAAACAAAATCTTTTAAAAATCTTAAAAAAAAAAAAAGGAAAGAAATTCTGCTGTGTTTTATGAATTCAATCTTCCTCTTTGGTGTAGTCTGTTAATTTTTAGAGACTTGGGAAACAAACTTGTTCAGGTTGAAATGTTAGTAACTTCCGTTTGTTGAAAGCTTACAGTTGGTTCTCCAGGCTCTACATGTTCTCTTGCTGCTGGGGCTACCAGCCAGGTTGTGTGTTGCCAGCCTTTTATGTTTGAGGAAAGTGAGTTTCAAAGAAAAGCCCAGCCCAGCAGAGCAGTTGGGTTGAACCCAGAGCCCAGCTTGTCTAGACCTAATCCTGCTTTGTTTTCCTTTTGGAGGAAAGTTATAAAATATTAAAAATATCTTTAGTTAGGAACAAGGATCATAAAACCTTATTTAATCCATTTGGCAGATAATAACCTATCTTTTACTTTCACAGTAAAAAGTGGTCTTATTACTTAGTTACTACTGCATATATAACAAATTACCTAAATTTCAGTGGCTGTAAAAACAAACTCTATGACCTCCCAGGTTTTTGGGTCAGGAATCCAGGAGTGGCTTACCCAGGTGGTTCTGGCCCAGGATCTTATGAAACATTAATGGAGGGTTGGCCAGGGCTGTGGTCACCTCCCTGCTCACCAGGCTGTTGGCAGGCCTCTTAGATCTGCTTCCAAGCTCACTCACATGGGCGTCTGCACAGGGATGCCTTCCAGCATGGCCCTGGCCTCCCCCAGGAATGGGAGAAAGAGAGCCCACATGGTGACCTCCCATTGCTTCTGCTGTCTTCTCTTCACTTGAAGCACCAGGGTTGGGGTCACGCAAAGATGTGGTTGACAGGAGGGGGCTCTTTGGAGGCCATCTGAGAGGCTGCCACCACAGCTGAAAGGTAGAAATAAAGACCCAAGTAGGATAGGGAGGAAAGTGGGCGGGATGGAAGCATTGGTAACTTCAGAGGTGTGGGTCTGTTGCCCTCAGGTATTATAGGGATTTGTCCAAGAAATAAAATGAATTCCAGTGTTGATGTAATTTAGAAAATCTAAAGAGTAACTGCAATGATTTATGAGAAATACGTATTTGGTTGTTCAGATGATCAAAATATACCTGATGTATTTGGTCTTTATCCAGTTCCTGGAAACGCTCTGAACCAGAAAGGTGACATGGTCTTAATGAAGGTGACTTTGGGACCCCACCCCAGGGCGAGGTGGGCTGCCAGGAGGACCAACCTTGTGATCAGAGATTGGAAGTTTCAGCCCCATCCCTGACCTCTGGGGAGAGGATGGAGGTTGACTCCGCCAGTGGCCAGTGATTTCATCAATCCCGGCTACGCAATGAAGCCTCCATAAAACCCAAGAGGTCAGCTTTTTGGTCGTTTCTGGAGACCTTCCACGCTTAGGGAACCAGAACTCTTCTACAATGAGCTGGCCCCAAGCTCCATGACGACAGAAACTCAGTTGTCTGGCACCTCACTCTTCGTGTCCTTTATCATATCCTTTAAGGAACTGGGAAGCACAAGGCAGTGCCCCCGAGGTCTGTGAGCTGCTCTGGTGACTTTGAAGAACCTAAGGAGGAGGTGGTTGGAAACTCCAATCGGCCAGTGGGTCAGAAGCACAGGGAGCAGGGGCGCCTGTGACTGGTGTTGGAAGGTTTGGGGGACGGGGCAGGAGGACCACCCTGACCTCAGCCCCACTGAACTGCCCGGCAAGGGCCCTCTCTGCACACCCGTCTGCCAACTCGGTGCAGACCATCCCGGGCTGTCCGGTGGAGTCCCCGGAGCCCAACAGAGGCTGGAGAATCAGCAAGGCCAGTGGAGGAGACAGGAGGGGTTCTGAGTTTGAGCAGGACTTACGGCTCTGGCTGGCTCTCGAGGTCACAGGGCTGTTCCGGGTGCACAGGTGACAACTCCCAGCCAGCAGCAGGGGGGCAGGACCCCAGCCCCACACCACACGTGGTCCATGATGGCGTGGCCTGAAGCTGACTGACCCCAGAGCCTCCAACAGGCTTGGCCACAGCTCTGGCTTTGGGCCCCATAGGGCCCAGCACACACACTGCTGGCCAGGGACTCGGCCCCTGCAGACCCGTGCTCTGAGCAGGCGCGGCTGAGTTCCTGCAGAGCAGTTGATTCGGGCTGGGGGATGGTCGCACCCTTGCCCGCCTGGTCTTCCTGGAGGCCAGACCTCTCTGGAATTGGGAGGCCCGCTGTGCTGCTGCAGACCCCCACCATCCCCCACCCCAGTCCCACTGAACTGCCCGGCCAGGGCCCTCCGTGCGCACCCGCTTGCTGACTCGTCACGGGTGCTGCTGGGCTTTGGCTCTCCTGTCCTCCTGGCGCCCTCTGGTAAGCGCACCTTCATGTGCTTCTTGCCAGGGTCACAGAGAGTTCAGGAGGGAGCGGGGATGACATGCTTGCCCTGCCACCTCGAACCCAAAGTCCAAATGGCATATTTTAAAATTTTAGTGGTGAGGCTAAGGATTCTGGATTAGAATAATCCCGCTTCCTCAAAACTGACAAAATAGAATGTGAAATGGGTCTATTTAGAAATAGTGAATTCCAACGTCTGGCAGAGGGGATTTGGTCCGCAGCTCAGGGGCTGGGGGACTGGTTTCCTCACCTGCATGGCAGAGGCACCTGTAGGAACAGGGGATGCTGCGCCAGTGTCTGCTGACAGGTGAGCAGGCCCTGCAGAAAAAAGCGTTTTGCACTCCACGCCTCTATCTGATGCTGGTGTGCACGGACGGGGCTTCTCGCTGTCCTGTTCTGCCATGGGGAGGCTGGGCCAGGAGCTCACTCAGGCTAAGCGTTCCCTTGGCTAGATCATTTCTTGGGGCCACACCACATCACAGAGTGTTGACTCATTCCCCACGTGGGCAGAGTCCGAGCTGAGCTGTCCAAGAATAACTGAGAGAGAGAGACAGTCTCATCTCTCCTCTGAGAAGCAAGCTATTTGATAAGATCAGCATGGGTCGCCACGGGCTCCCTCCTCGTCCCCATGGTCAGGGGACGGGGTGAAGGAAGGAAAGTCAGGTGAGCTGGTCAGTGAATATGGGAGGCCTGCCACACCTCCACGTATCCCAGCGCTAGGCTGTCTCTGCCTGTTCGTCTGCATCTGCCCCTCTCCGGGTCTCTCTCAGGCACATGAAACCCCTGTCCCCTCTCGTGAAAACGCCCAGGGTCCCAGTCCTTCCTCCGTAGTGGTAACAGAAATTCGGCACAGGTCGGGATACATAACTGGCTTCTCTTCTAGCGAGGTGAACACGTTGGGATCGCCTAAAACAACGCTCACGGGGGTGGGTGTTAACGTCACCTTTGGACTGACTGAAAGTTTATGGTGGCCAATACCCTTCACCAGGAAAAGCTGGAGTGGAGATTCGCGCCCAGGCCTGCTGCCCCATGCCACGCTGTCCCTGTGCATCCCCGAGGCCAGGCTATGTCACACCTGCGACTCTGTGACCTGGGACAGCATTCTCATCCTCGGGGAGCCTCGGCCTCTTCACGGTTCGAGGAGGGGTAATAACCCCCACAATGCTGGTGTAGACAGCCATCAATAAACACCAGTCTGTCCCTGCTACTCCTCCTGCCGCAGGAAAGACACTTTGTGCTGTATCTGATGAGGCAGGGCCCACCCTAGGCCTCCCGTGGCCCCACATGTCTGGTGCTCGCCTGCTCCACTTTCTTATCACTGGAGGATGCGTGGGCTACGGAGAATGCGGGTACTCCTCAGAGTCACCCTGCTGACACTGGGACAAAGGTGGGACGAAGTCTGTTTAAAGTCCGTGACTTCAAATCCGTGCAGACAGTGGCGACCATAATCAGCTCCACGAGGGCGTGTGCGGAGCACAGACAGGAGACTGTAGAGAATACGTCTACACTTGTGTGCATGTGTGTGTGCACGTGGGAGTGTGTGCATGTCGGCCTGTGCAAGTATGTTGTGTGTGTGCAAGTGTGCACGAGAGCATGCGCGTGTGCAAATATGTGTGTGGTGCACGCGAGTGTGTGCACATGTGGGTGACTGTGTGTGCATGTGAGCATGTGTGAGTGTGAGCACGTGTGTATATGCAAGTGTGCACGAGAGCACTGTGTGTGCAAATATGTGTATGGTGCATGCGAGTGT